TGCGTAGCTATGTTAGAAAATCCACAATAACTGCATGCCTTGTCAATGCCATCCCCGAGGTGTGGTCAAAGATTATGTTTGTGTTTGAACACCTTCTCGGCGTTCAGTGATGGTGAGTAAACATGGCATCTGCTGTCGAATACTCCCTCCGTATAAAATTATAAGACATTTTTCTAGGCTAGTTTAGCCTACAAAAGCATCTTACATTTTGGTACAGAGGTATTATATCGTATGTATAGTGAAGCTCTTTTGCATAATGGAGTTGTGCAAGTGGTGTACAGAGACGTAAAGAATGTAAAAGAGGGAGCCGAAAGTAGTTTGATCTTTTATGTTGTATATATACTGCCTCTCTTGGTTCTATCAGTCACTTGTTGACATATCCCATGAGGAAAAGAATATAATGCCAAATGTGAAGCATAATCGGTGAATGCTGATGTATCTTTTTAAATTTGATTTGACTGATCTCATCAATCGTCTGCTCTTGTGGTTTTAGAAAAGATATGATCCTACATTAATGTTCAGCTAAACAAGTCACAAACAGGATCGACAAAGAGAGCTGACAAAATTTAGCCATCTTGGAAGTTTAGACTAGCTCCTGAAGGTTATGAATGGTCATTTCAGCAAGATGCTCAAATAAGCGACAACCTACGACATACTGTAGACTATTTTCTCTGGGCCGGTTTATTAGCCTCCTTATATGGTTTAGTTAAATTTTGACCACAGATTTAGCTAACAAAACCAGTGAATAGATACATCTGATGTAGACAAATCTAAAACAAGAATTTTGGGACGGAGGGAGTATAAATTATATGGCACAAAAAGAATCATCAAAAACCCTTTTCAAGTACAAATCTAACAATATAATTTTTGTGGCATGTACCTTATATTTTACTAGTCAAATCTATTGCCAAAGCTTGTCTTAAAATATGAGAGGACTAATAAATCAGGATGGAAGTAGTTGTCAAGTTGAGATATCACTAGAAAAATTGCCCGTGCGTTGCAACGGGGAACACGCTAGTAAAACATTGTCATGGTGTGAAAACATGCATGAAAAAAAATGAAAGGATTATACTCCCTCCGTTCCAAAAAAGTGTCTCAACTTTATACTAAATTTAATACAAAGTTGTACTCCCTCTTTCTCAATTTACAGGGCGTGCGTGTATCCCTAGGTCGTCCATTTGACCAACCTAATACAAGTTATATATTACAAAAAATATACCAATATAAACTTCAAATGTTCTACTTTCAAAAGGTATAATTTTTGTGTTATATAGCTTATATTAGGGTGTTAAAATTGGCAACCTAGGTATACGCGTAGGACTTGTAAACTGTGACGGAGGGAGTACTAAGGTTGAGACACTTATTTTGGGACGGATGGAGTATGTGTTTTTACGTCCTCATTGTATGTGGATTGACGCCTTTTTTTACTATTGTGTACAATGACATGAAAGTGTACATACCATTGCCTAATATCATATCCGCCTTAGGAGTATTGTACATTATATTTTTCATCTATATATCTTCTGTAAGAAGTAAGATCATGGTTCGAATAAAGTTGTTCACGCTACCATTGCTCGTCATATAATCTCAAAATAATATATGCATAATCGGACTCGCCAAGATAAAGACGAGATGTTGTATTTTATGATGTTATGTTTTCTGCACATGCAATGGTAGTTTCCTAGGAAAATAATCTCAGTAAAACAACTGAAATAAAAATGAAGGATATTTTACCGGGATCTGATACGAACGTCAATAAAAATAGACCAGACCACCATCAATTAACACACACACACACATATGGAATTGTGCTCGATTTTTCTCAACGTGGCAAAACAAAAATTCTGCAAATGAATGATAATTGACGAACTATTATTAGGGTTGAAATGCGATTGCTATGTGATTTGAGTATTTCCTCCTAATTTTACTTTTTTGTCGATCATCTGGAAGAAAGACTGCTATATGTTTTAGTGATTTGGTCAAAACTTGAATTCCCTGTTATATATGCAGCACTATATGATTCCCTTAACACCCCTTTTTAAGAGTACATGTGCTAATTTGATAATCTAGATAAAAAATATGCTAATGTTGAAACCAAAATATGCAAAAGAACGTGAATTACAATATATACATTGAAGATAAGTACTAAAAACACAATTCCATAACGGTGCTAGCTGACTTGTATTATTCTTGTAGCATAATACTGCTACTGCTTGCTTGTTCGATTAACTACAGGGTCAGTATTTTGATTTCACTTGAGTAAGTAAGTGAATCTTCTTCTGATGCATGATACCACCTTTTGTGTTCATCATGCACTATGTTTTTTTCCAGTTGTGTATAAACTAAACTGAAGCTATCAGTTAAATGTGAGATCGATCAAAATGGCTAACTAAATGATGCCAATTTATGCATTTGCAAACATCTAGCGTGTTGCAACTAATTTTCTCGGCTCTCTTTTTCTGAGCTGCAGGTTGACTCCCAAACAAAGCAAAGTATAAAAAATAAAAACAAAAAAGACAAGTATTACAATATATACATTGAAGATAAGTACTAAAAACACAATTCCATAACGGTGCTAGCTGACTTGTATTATTCTTGTAGCATAATACTGCTACTGCTTGCTTGTTTGATTAACTACAGGGTCAGTATTTTGATTTCACTTGAGTAAGTAAGTGAATCTTCTTCTGATGCATGATACCACCTTTTGTGTTCATCATGCACTGTGTTTTTTTCCAGTTGTGTATAAACTAAACTGAAGCTATCAGTTAAATGTGAGATCGATCAAAATGGCTAACTAAATGATGCCAATTTATGCATTTGCAAACATCTAGCGTGTTGCAACTAATTTTCTCGGCTCTCTTTTTCTGAGCTGCAGGTTGACTCCCAAACAAAGCAAAGTATAAAATATACTGCTACTGCTTGCTTGTTTGATTAACTACAGGGTCAGTATTTTGATTTCACTTTAGTAAGTAAGTGAATCTTCTTCTGATGCATGATATAAAAAAATAACTGCAGGTTGACTCCCAAACAAAACAAAGTATAAAAAAAATAAAAACAAAAAAGATAAGTATTACAATATATACATTGAAGATAAGTACTAAAAACACAATTCCATAACTGTGCTAGCTGACTTGTATTATTCTTGTAGCATAATACTGCTACTGCTTGCTTGTTTGATTAATTACAGGGTCAGTATTTTGATTTCACTTGAGTAAGTAAGTGAATCTTCTTCTGATGCATGATACCACCTTTTGTGTTCATCATGCACTGCGTTTTTTTTCCAGTTGTGTATAAACTAAACCGAAGCTATCAGTTAAATGTGAGATCGATCAAAATGGCTAACTAAATGATGCCAATTTATGCATTTGCAAACATCTAGCGTGTTGCAACTAATTTTCTTGGCTCTCTTTTTCTGAGGTGCAGGTTGACTCCCAAACAAAGCAAAGTATAAAATATACTGCTACTGCTTGCTTGTTTGATTAACTACAGGGTCAGTATTTTGATTT